GCTGTCAACAATAATGGGTGGGGTGGGGGTTGGGTGTTGTCTTTATTGCTATCAGCAATAATAAGGCATTAAAGGGGGTGGGGTGTTGTCTTTATTGCTGTCAACAATAATAATAAGGCAGTGGGGGTGGGTGTGTTGTGTTGTCTTTATTGCTGTCAACAATAATAAAGGCAGTGGAGGTGGGTGTGTTGTGTTGTCTTTATTGCTGTCAACAATAATAAGGCAGTGGGGTGGGGGTTATTAGGTTGTTGTCTTTATTGCTGTCAACAATAATAAGGCAGTGGGGTGGGGGTGGGGTGTTGTCTTTATTGCTGTCAGCAATAAATGGAAAGGCAGTGGGGTGGGGGTGGGTTGTTGTCTTTATTGCTGTCAACAATAATAAGGCAGTGGGGTGGGGGCAGGGGTTGTCTTTATTGATGTCAGCAATAATAAGGCAGTGGGGTGGGGGTGGGGTGTTGTCGTTATTGCTGTTGATAATAAGGCTTGGGGTGGGGGTGTTGTCTTTATTGCTGTTAACAATAATAAGGCAGTGGGGTGGGGGGGGGTGTTGTCTTTTGCTATCAACAATAATAAGGCAGTGGGGTGGGGGTGGGGTGTTGTCTTTATTGCTGTTAACAATAATAAGGCAGTGGGGTGGGGGTGGGGTGTTGTCTTTATTGCTGTCCCAGCAATAATAAGGCAGTGGGGTGGGGGTGGGGTGTTGTCTTTGTGCTGTTAACAATAATAAGGCAGTGGGAATTGGGGGTGGGGTGTTGTCTTTATTGCTGTCAACAATAATAAGGCAGTGTGGGGGTGTGGTGTTGTCTTTATTGCTGTCAACAATAATAAGGCAGTGGGGTGGGGGTGGGTTGTTGTCTTTATTGCTGTCAACAATAGAAGTAAGGCAGTGGGGTGGGGTGTGTGATGTTGTCTTTATTGCTGTCAACAATAATAAGGCAGTGGGGTGGGGTGTGTTATTGTCTTTATTGCTGTCAACAATAATAAGGCAGTGGGGTGGGGTGTGGAAGATGTTGTCTTTATTGCTGTCAACAATAATAAGGCAGTGGGGTGGGGTGGGTTAGGTTTGTCTTTATTGCTGTCAACAATAGTAAGGCAGTGGGGTTGGGGGTGTGTGATGTTGTCTTTATTGCTGTCAACAATAATAAGGCAGTGGGGTGGGGGTGGGGTGTTGTCCTTATTGCTGTCAACAATAATAAGGCAGTGGGGGGGTGGGGTGTTGTCTTTATTGCTGTCAACAATAATAAGGAAGTGGGAGTGGGGATGGAGGCGTTGTCTTTATTGCTTTTGTAAGGCTGTGGGGTATTGCTGTCAACAATAATAAGGCAGTGGGGTGGGGATGGGGTGTTGTCTTTATTGCTGTCAACAATAATAAGGCAGTGGGGTGGGGGTGGGGTGTTGTCTTTATTGCTGTCAACATTAATAAGGCAGTGGGGTGGGGTGTTGTCTTTATTGCTGTCAACAATAATAAGGCAGTAGGGGGTGGGTGTTGTCTTTATTGCTGTCAACAATAATATGGCAGGGGGTGGGGTGTTGTCTTTATTGCTGTCAACAATAATAAGGCAGTGGGGTGGGGTGTTGACTTTATTGCTGTCAACAATAATAAGGCAGTGGGGGTGGGGATGGGGTGTTGTCTTTATTGCTGTCAACAAGAAATAAGGCAGTGGGGTGGGGTGTTGTCTTTATTGCTGTCAACAATAATAAGGCAGTGGTGTGGGGTGTTGTCTTTATTGCTGTCAACAATAATAAGGCAGTGGGGTGGGGATGGGGTGTTGTCTTTATTGCTGTCAACAATAATAAGGCAGTGGGGTGGGGGTGGGGTGTTGTCTTTATTGCTGTCAACATTAATAAGGCAGTGGGGTGGGGGGGGTGTTGTCTTTATTGCTGTCAACAATAATAAGGCAGTGGGGTGGGGTGTTGTCTTTGTTGCTGTCAACAATAATATGGCAGTGGAAGTAGGGTGTTGTCTTTATTGTTGTCAACAATAATAAGGCAGTGGGGTAAAGTGTTGACTTTATTGCTGTCAACAATAATAAGGCAGTGGGAGGGTGGGGATGGGGTGTTGTCTTTGTGCTGTCAACAAAAATAAGGCAGTGGGGTGGGGTGTTGTCTTTGTGCTGTCAACAATAATAAGGCAGTGGGGTGGGGGTTGGGTGTTGTCTTTATTAATGTCAACAATAATAAGGCAGTGGGGGTGGGGTGTTGTCTTTATTGCTGTCAACAATAATAAGGCAGTGGGGTGGGGGCGGGGTGTTGTCTTTATTGCTGTCAACAATAATAAGGCATTAAAGGGGTGGGGTGTTGTCTTTATTGCTGTCAACAATAATAAGGCAGTGGGGTTAGGTGTGGGTGTGTTGTCTTTATTGCTGTCAACAATAATAAGGCAGTGGGGTGGGTGTGTTGTGTTGTCTTTATTGCTGTCAACAATAATAATATGGCAGTGGGGTGGGGGTGGGTTGTTGTCTTTATTGCTGTCAACAATAATAAGGCAGTGGGGTGGGGGTGGGGGTGTTGTCTTTATTGCTGTCAACAATAATAAGGCAGTGGGGGTGGGAGTGGGTTGTTGTCTTTATTGCTGTCAACAATAATAAGGCAGTGGGGTGGGGGGAGGGGGTGGGGGTTGTCTTTATTGCTGTCAACAATAATATGGCAGTGGGGTGGGGGTGGGGTGTTGTCTTTATTGCTGTCAACAATAATAAGGCAGTGGGGTGGGGTGGGGTGTTGTCTTTATTGCTTTCAACAATAATAAGGCAGTGGGGTGGGTGTTGGGTGTTGTCTTTATTACTGTCAACAATAATAAGGCAGTGGGGTGGGGGTGTGGTGTTGTCTTTTATTGCTGTCAACAATAATAAGGCAGTGGGGTGGGGTGGGGTGTTGTCTTTATTGCTGTCAACAATAATAAGGCAGTGGGGTGGGGGTGGGGTGTTGTCTTTATTACTGTCAACAATAATAAGGCAGTGGGGTGGGGGTGAGTTGTTGCATTTATTGCTGTCAACAATAATAAGGCAGTGGGGTGGGGGTGGGGTGGGGTGTTGTCTTTATTGCTGTCATGAATAATAAGGCAGTCACCTTGCATATTCAGCAGGTGAACATGATTGTATCTTACAGTTTAGCGCCATCAGTTAGCAGCAATTGATTGAATCACTTTGGATCTATTGTCGACGGAGAGCTTTTGTTTTACGCAGCTTTTAGCAATATTCCAGCAATGTCAAGGCGGGGGATACCGGAAATCGGCGCCGGTTCTATAGGCGTTATGAACGTTACGGTTACCCCACTGAAAACGTCGACGCCCGAGAACAGATTCCTGTGGTTGTAAAATCAAATTCCTTCAGACATTACATAAATATACATTGTTGGATGACACCAGGTGTTCGTACTACGGTTATCCAGGTCCTGCTATACCCAAACTACAGTGTTACCGCCGCTTAAATTCAAAAGTGTAAGGAGATGTGAAAACTCTTCTATTTTGATTTTGCAATCACGTGGAGAATTTCAAAGTAATATGTATGTACAGCATCAAATGGTAACCCCTTAATGCCTTGCATGCCATGCTACGAAAGGTATTGTATTTTGACTTTTGTCCCTGTCCAGATAACAATGGTCTAAACAAAAGTACCGGTTTAGAAACTTGAAACTTAGGATATGTGAAAACGCACATGTTCCCATGCGCTTCTGACATAGTTTTTTTTGTATGTGAATTGTCCTGACGGAAGACAAAGATATACTCCGTCTACCAAGTAGTGGGAACGTCCTTTCCAAGAATCATAAACACAAACATAAAATTTTCTATGGACTTTCGGCCAGCATCGCGGGTTGTCTGAGTTACAACATGGTCATAAAAAGGAAATAGGAATAAAGAAAGCCGTGTTAGCTCTGACAGACATATTGCTTCATCATTGCGCCTGTCAGATCGTGATAAAACGTTGAGTTATGTCATAATGAAAGTTCTGAAACTGAAAATTGCGACAAAGCAGCGTAGCCTATCTAAATATGTTGTGATTTCCCTTCGCAATAAACCAGTCACGAAGAACGTGTAATAACCAGTGTTGTGAGTTATCCCAAAGACTGGAAGCAGAGGTTAGATGGAACAGCGCTTTACTTCACGTTCATGTTTATTGCGTTTATTCCAGATACACTGAGTCTGGAAACCCAAGTCGGATACAGCAAATTGACTCTGAGCAGACACGACAACCGCTTAGTCTGTGAAAATATAGTATGACAGCTACATTTATAGGTTTGAAAAGCCAAACATGGAAACCGTACTGTTTAGTGCAGTCATCAGTTGCTTCTATTTTGTATATAATTTTACCAATTTTCTGCCTCCCATCGACATGAAAACAATGGTTTTACGTGCGTTGCGGGAATAACATGAAAATCTGGAATGTGAATCTTTGCAGCTCAGAATACAAATCTGCTGTCATTATTTGTAATCATCTACATGTGAAAGCCATCAAAGTTTCTGTCTTTCAGTGCCACCAACACTCTGCCATTTTCCGTCTCCTGTCACCTTCAAGGAGAACTGAAGGAAAGAACGCCATCACCAGGTGCGTGCGTGAATCACTTGCATAAAAACTCTTCGGGACCGTACTTTCGATTAATGTCTCACCGATATCCTATTGACGTCAGTCATATTTCCAACACATGTACTATTTTGATTTGGCACTGAGCTTGATAGTTTCAAAGGATTATTTATGCACTGCGTGAAAGTGTAATTCGTTATGCTTTGCATGAAAAGTCACCGCAGGTATTGCATTTTGACATATTCCCTGTTCAGATTTCAATGTTCTCAAAACCAGCGCAATCACAGACTGGTCAGGAAACTTGGTGTTATTGTATAATAGCTCTTGTGATTTACCTATCTGGCTGTACTGTCATGTCCTCCCACATAACATGGCTGAGTCAGATGAGTGGGAGAATGGACTCACTTTACAGGTAAGCGTTTCTGTTACTGGATAGGGTGCACACCCTGTTGGTCTCTATTGATGTCAGCTATCAGCCAGTGTCATGTTTCATGCTCTTTTTATGAAAGTTATTTAGGTTGTATTTTGGTAGGGGTGGATGTCAGCCTTAATGTGGGAACAGATCTCCCAAACACACCATTTCATTTATGTGCAAAACATGCATTTGGTTCTCAATGTGCTATATAAAGTCTTGTTAAGTTGAAGTTAACACAGTTGAACTTCATACTGTCAAGGGAGATCTAAGGAGAAGGCATTTTTTGTGAGTACGTTTCTGGTTTCTTTAGCAAAGTTAAATATGTAAATTTATCACTTGGTGTTGAGGATTATGAAAATATTTGTCTTTTAACATTGTTACTCGCAGACACTTTGGGTAGCAGTTTTGGTGTTATTTTTCTAAGAATGTTATTGTGTTAGATGTGTTGACACGACATGTTATGGTTGTCACCACGTGGCTAGCAAGTAGGTATTTTATTATTTCAGACTTGGGGAAAATTGCTCCCACTTCTGGTTTTCCTAGTCAAGAGTTCAAGATATAAGGCAGTACTACACTATTCTGGATGACAACAACAGAGCTGTTACACATCGTATACAGGATTACATCCATGGACTATTTTGTTGTGGACATTCTGTGTTTATGGACCATCAGTGAACTTGTGTGTACTTTTGACCATTGTTTGCCTCGCCATCTGAATGTAATTGGATGTTTATTTGTGCTGATTAGTACAAGATACCCTGATTACCAATATTATCTTGTGGAGAATGTCACTGTTTCATGCTACTGTTTGTGAAGTGAGGCTGTAATGTAATAAACATATTTGGCCTAAACATCTTTTATTTCCCGTTTGTAGTAATATGTGCTGAATATCCATTGGGTCTACTTTTGATTTGTGACATTTGGGGGCTCGTCCGGGATAAAAAAAAAAAAAAAAAATCATACAAAGCAAACAAGAGATCCTTTTGAGAAGGAATAATTTCAGCCATATTGTTGCATTTGAGAATAAAACAAAAAACTGTTTTAGTTAGAAACATGTCTGCCAAAGATTTAGAATCACTTGTCAAAATGGGTGAAAAGATGGGCTTTACAGGGGCTGATTTGTCTTCCTTTGTGGAGAGGGAACGTCAGGCTATAACAGCTGAAAAAGAGAGGGTTCGATATGAACATGAGCGTGAGTTAGCAATGGCATTAGAGAAAGAGAAATTGTTATTAGAAAGAGAGAATTTAGAAAGAGAGGAGAAAGCGGTATGTAGAGCTCATGAGAAAGAAATGAAAGCGTTAGATGTCAGTCAAGGCAGACACAGTCACATTCCATTACCAGTAGGAAATAGGTCTAAACCCAAACTGACTCCATTTGATGAAAGAAGGGACAATATAGACTCCTATTTGAATAGATTTGAGAGATATGCCACCTGTAATCAGTGGTTAGAGGAAGAGTGGGCTAATATCCTCAGTGCTTTATTGACAGGAAAAGCTTTAGAAGTTTATTCCAGATCGGAGTTTGAAGCAGCAAATGATTATCAGGCTTTAAAGCAGGCTCTTCTGAGACGATTTCGTCTAAATGATGAAGGTTTTAGGATGAAGTTTAGAAATTCAAAGATTGAAGCTGATGAATCATGTGTACAGTTTATTGCCAGGTTACGGAACTACTTGAGTAGGTGGGTTGAATTAAGTGATACTGTTAAAACATATGATGGCATATGCGACTTGTTGCTGAGGGAACAGTTCCTTATGACATGTAGCAGACCACTGTCAGTTTTTCTAAAGGAGAGAAAATTGAAGAATGCAGGGGAAATGGCTAATGTAGCTGATCAGTATGCAGAAGCACATAGAGGTATGGGATCCAGTGAGTCTAGAGATAAAGCCTATAATGGTAAAGGTCTTCAGAAGGATTCCAGCTCGAGTGTGAATTCAGGGGCATCTATCAGGCGTAGTTGCTACATATGTAACAGAGCAGATCACTTATTTCGTGATTGTCCGGTCAGGAAACAGTATAAAAAGGAAACCTTCGTAGGGAAACAGAAATTGGGAGCAATCAAGGTAACTGAATCAAGTTCAGTAGGAGCCTGCATGGATATGCAGACAAAGCGTAGTTCAGGTCAGGTAGCTGCATCTGAAGTGGAGTTGATCCAAGGGAAGGATCGATCACCTGCAGAGAAGGTGAATGTAGTGATGGAAGAGGAGGCTAAGAAGGATAGTCTACCCGTTGTGAGTTCAGTCTGTATAGCTGGAAATATGCCGGTTAAGACTGGTTTAGTTGGTGATTGTATTGTGTTAGTGTTAAGAGACACTGGTTGCAGTACTGTAGTTGTAAGGAAGTCAGTAGTCAACCCATCCTCATTTATGAAGGTTAGTAAAAAGTGCATTATGCTTGATGGTACTGTACGTGAGGTCCCAACTGCAAGGATTGAGGTAGACACACCGTATTATGAGGGTTCAGTTGAAGCTTTGGTCATGGACAATCCATTATATGACTTAGTCTTGGGCAACATTCCAGGAGTATGACAACCAAACGACCCAAATGAGTCGTGGATTCTGTCTGAAGTTAAAGGTCCCATACAGCTAGCATCAGTGGAAACGCGAAGTCAAAAGGCTAAGAAAGAGAAACCTATTTCACCATTAAAAATTGTTGACATAGAGCTAGATGACATTACCGCAGCAAGTATTGCTGAGCAACAGAGTCTAGACCCTTCTCTCTCATATATCAGAAAGAAATGTGGACAAGGTCGCTACACTGACCGGAGTGGAAACATGATTGAATTTGTGCAACAAGATCATCTCTTGTATAGACATTTTAGTTCCCCTAAAGTGGAGAAAGGTCATTTGTTCACACAGCTGGTTGTCCCAAAGTTGTATAGGAACAAGGTGCTTAAACTAGCACATTACTCGACCCTGTCTGGTCACCTAGGAGTAAAGAAGAGCCTGGATCGAATTCGCTCTAAGTTCTTTTGGCCAGGGATGCAGGGAGATGTGCAGCGATATGTAGCCTCCTGTGATGTATGTCAGAGAACCGTCCAAAAGGGAAGGATTTCTAAAGTCCCACTTGGAGTTATGCCACTGATTGAGACCCCATTTCGCAGAGTAGCTGTGGATATAGTAGGTCCTATCTCTCCAGTAACCAGTAAAGGCAACAGATACATACTTACCATGATAGATTTTGCCACAAGATATCCGGAAGCCATTCCATTGCCGAGTATTGAGACTGAACGTGTTGCTGAAGCCATGCTAGAAATCTTTACAAGGGTAGGGGTTCCGTTAGAGGTATTATCAGACATGGGAAGTCCGTTTACTTCAAATATTATGAAAGAGGTTAGCAGACTACTGTCAATCAAACAGAAGACTACCACTCCTTACCATCCTATGTGCAATGGTGCTGTAGAAAGATTCAATGGCACGTTGAAAACTATGCTTAGACGGATGTGTTCAGAAAAACCGAAAGATTGGGATCGCTATATTCCAGCACTGTTATTTGGATACAGAGAGGTTCCACAAGAAAGCACAGGATTTTCGCCTTTTCAGCTTCTTTATGGCAGGACAGTGCGTGGCCCTATTAGTATTCTCTATGAACTCTGGACTAATGAGAAGACTGAACCAGATGTCAAGAATACTTATCAGTATGTTGTGGAATTGAGAGAGAGGCTTGAGGACACTTGTCAGTTAGCCAAGGCTGAATTAGGAAAGTCGGCAAAAAAAGTACAAGAAGTACTATTATGCTTGGTCAAAGGACAGACGATTCAATGTTGGAGATGAGGTATTGGTTCTCTTACCAACAGATCACAATAAACTCCTTCTTCAATGGAAGGGTCCGTACAAGGTCTCTGCAGTACAGGGTCAAGCAGATTACCGGATAAAGATGAAAGATAAGGAAAGGATGCTTCATGCCAATCTACTCAAAAGATATGTAAAGCGTGTGGAGGAAAATGAGAGCGCTGCATACATAGATTCACATGATGACAATGTAAACAACGTTCCTAGCATGTCATCACTAGAATATGTTGCTACTGCTGTTGTGGATTTTGAGCATGAGGAAACTGAAGTCACTAATATAGAACTCCCTGCATTGCAAAGTTCTGAGGAGTACACTGACGTCCACATAGGCCCTTTGCTGGATAAGGAGCAGAAGATGGAACTGAAAGACTTGTTGGAGGAATTCAAGTCAACCTTAACAGATATACCAGGGAGAACCAACTTGGCATACCATCAAGTCAAGCTTACCTCTGACACTCCAGTGAGATCTAAACCATATTCAGTACCTCATGTTAGCAAAGAACATATTGATATGGAGATACAGAAGATGATCAAGCTTGGAGTCATAGAACCTTCCACATCTCCCTATGCTTCTCCAGTTGTTCTGGTTCGTAAACCAGACGGATCACTTAGATTCTGTATTGACTTCCGTAAGTTAAATGCTATTACAGTCTTTGATGCTGAACCTCAGCCTATTCCTGAAGATCTCTTTACCAAATTGAATACAGGAAAATATTTCAGTAAGCTGGACTTGGCGAAGGGATATTGGCAAATACCTCTTCAAGAGGATGCATGTGAGAAGACTGCATTTGTAACCACTGAAGGACACTTTCAGTTCAGAGTTATGCCTTTTGGTATGGTGAGTGCAGCAGCAACATTTACCAGAATGATGAGAACACTGCTAGCAGGAATTCCTAGTTTAGTCAATTTGATAGATGATATATTGATCTACACGGAAACTTGGGAGGAACATTTGATAATCCTGAGGCAGGTACTCACTAGAATAAGAGATGCCCAGCTGACACTTAGACCTACAAAATGTCAGGTTGGATTAGGGGAAGTAGAGTTTCTCGGGCATGTCATTGGAAATGGCTCATTGAAGCCCGTCCCAGCAAAAATCCAGAAAATCAGGGAGGCACAGGAACCAAGAACAAAGAAGGAACTTCGTTCTTTCATTGGTTTAGCAAGCTACTACCGAAAGTTCATTCCTGATTTTGCTGCTATTGCTGTACCTTTGACAGATCTCACTAAGAAAAACAGTCCCAATCATCTGCAATGGGAAGCATCACAACAAAATGCATTTGATACGTTAAAGAGTAAGCTCTCCACTGACCCTATTCTGAGGCTTCCAGACTTTACAAAGGTGTTTCATCTACGAACTGATGCCTCTGATGTGGGGATTGGTTCTATCCTACTTCAGGAACATGGAGAACAGTTGTTTCCAGTTGCACATGCCAGTAGAAAGTTGTTGTTGCGTGAGAGAAACTATGCGGTCATAGAGCGGGAGTGTTTGGCACTAGTCTGGTCTATCAAGAAATTTGGTTCATATCTATATGGTCGAACATTCATTGTTGAAACAGATCATCAGCCATTGGCATATTCTTGTCCAAAGTAAAATTACAGAATGCAAGAGTTATGCGATGGGCTTTGAGTCTACAACCATATAGGTTTACAGTCAGATGTTTGAAGGGATGTGAGAACCATGGAGCAGATTTTTTGAGTAGGGTTGCATGATTGTAGAATGGTAGGGACTAAAGAGTTCACTTCTATAAAAGAGCAAGATGTATAAAATAGTATACGTAAAGTATACTATGTTTTCTGTTGAGGGCCTAATGTCATGTTTCATGCTCTTTTTATGAAAGTTATTTAGGTTGTATTTTGGTAGGGGTGGATGTCAGCCTTAATGTGGGAACAGATCTCCCAAACACACCATTTCATTTATGTGCAAAACATGCATTTGGTTCTCAATGTGCTATATAAAGTCTTGTTAAGTTGAAGTTAACACAGTTGAACTTCATACTGTCAAGGGAGATCTAAGGAGAAGGCCTTTTTTTGTGAGTACGTTTCTGGTTTCTTTAGCAAAGTTAAATATGTAAATTTATCACTTGGTGTTGAGGATTATGAAAATATTTGTCTTTTAACATTGTTACTCGCAGACACTTTGGGTTGCAGTTTTGGTGTTATTTTTCTAAGAATGTTATTGTGTTAGATGTGTTGACACGACATGTTATGGTTGTCACCACGTGGCTAGCAAGTAGGTATTTTATTATTTCAGACTTGGGGAAAATTGCTCCCACTTCTGGTTTTCCTAGTCAAGAGTTCAAGATATAAGGCAGTACTACACTATTCTGGATGACAACAACAGAGCTGTTACACATCGTATACAGGATTACATCCATGGACTATTTTGTTGTGGACATTCTGTGTTTATGGACCATCAGTGAACTTGTGTGTACTTTTGACCATTGTTTGCCTCGCCATCTGAATGTAATTGGATGTTTATTTGTGCTGATTAGTACAAGATACCCTGATTACCAATATTATCTTGTGGAGAATGTCACTGTTTCATGCTACTGTTTGTGAAGTGAGGCTGTAATGTAATAAACATATTTGGCCTAAACATCTTTTATTTCCCGTTTGTAGTAATATGTGCTGAATATCCATTGGGTCTACTTTTGATTTGTGACAGCCAGTCACTTTGCATATTCAGTAGGCGAACGTGACTTGTCAAGTGAGTTTCAGTTTAACGACGCTTTTAGCAATATTCCAGCTATGTCACCTCGGTGAACACCAGAATTGGGCTTCACATAGTGTACCCATATTGGGAATGGAAACTGTGTCTTCGAGCAAACCACTAGGCTATCCCACCGCGTAGGTGCCTGGGAATATTTGGTATCGTCTGACATAACAGATTCCATGGGTTGTAAAATCAAAATCTGAATGGAAACTGTGCTGACACCTGGTGTTCGAACTAATTGTATTCAGGTTCTGCTTTGCAATGTAAAATGCAGATCAAATCATAAAGTGCCAGTGAGTAACGAGGTGTGAAAACATGTTCCCATACGCTTCTGATAGTGTCTTTCGTGTGAAAATTATCCAAACGGGAGACCACGATGTACTTAGTCAACCAAGCAGCAGGAACGTCCTTTCTCAGAACCAGAAACAGAAACATAAAATTATCTACAGCAGGGCGAGTTGCAGCATGTTGATAAAAAGAAAGAAGGAGTAACGGAAGTCGTGTTAGCTCTGCCAAACATTGCTTCATCATGCTGCCTGTTATCTCTTGATATCTCGAGTTATGCTATGATTAAGAATACGCTTCTGATACTAAATGTTAAAGTTGCAGCAAGGTAGCATAGCCTATTTGAATGTGTTTTGATTCTCCTCACAACAGGGGCAGTGGGATAGCCTAGTGGTTTAAGCGTTCGTTCGTAACGCCAAAGGCCCGGGTTCGAGTCTTCACATAGTCACAATGTGTGAAGCCAATTTCTGGTGTCCTTCGCCGTGATATTGCTGAAATATTGCTAAAAACGGCATGAAACTCAACTCACCCCTTCAGAACAGACCAGTCACGAAGAAGGTATATATAATAACCAGTGTTGGCCCAAAGATTGAAAGGAAGCAGAAAAGAGATGGGATGGGGATTAACTTCACCTTTACGATTTAAGAAGCGACAGGCGTGTATGGATGTAGCTGTGCGTGCATGGGTATGTGTTCAAGAAATTTCAGAAAGGGTTGGGTGGAAGGGAATGGAATGTGATTCACACTACGAGGGTCCTAGTTCTTGCTTTAACCCTT